TAGCAAAGGTCAAAATGATCTTATCCTTGACTTAAAAAAAAAATATATCAACTTACACCACCTGTATCCATTCAGTTCCAACATAATTGAGGAATGACGTTCATTAGATATTTAAAATCCTTTTTAATTAAAGTGTGTGTGTATATATTTTGTCTAGAATTGAGTCATTTCATCAACTAAATTGGTATAAAGTCAAATGTTAAATTAACGTTTGTCATTTACAAATTTACATTAATTAGCAGACAAAATTTACGCGATCAACTACAATTTGACCATCCCACTTGATGTTCTCGATATGCTGAGTTGATTGCCAACTTCCTTCAGGTGATTTTTATTTTAGTGGAATTGGTGATTGTCAAGAAGCCAATTGTCTTGTCTTGTCTTGATGATCAATCAAGCACCCATGTCTTGAAGAAAAAAAAATCTATCACATTATTTTTGTGTTGCATGAAACGAAAATGCAACTATATATTAATAAATAATACTTACTTTGTGTGTCGACTATATATTAATTAGAACACATTATAGTGGTAGCTCGTTTGATTAGGATTAATGCTATTATCATTTCCAATTCTTTCTAAAATTACTATTTCGAAAAAAAAAAGTCATACTAATTGAATTGTGTGAGTTCCGAAGGCATGAGGTTCGATTTTGTACAATATTTCCAAACAATTGATGCATGCATAATTGCATAAGATTTGTTTTTCATAAAAGTAAGTAACATTGAAAATTACTTTGGAAATTAAATCCCAATCTTATATGCACATTTAAAAGTTGGGACTACGTGTTTGTCCTATGTATTCATTATTAGTGCTCATGGAATAATTTAGTGATAACCTATTAATTATTTTTTGCCTTCACTTAAAAAAAATAAAGACAAATAAATTTATTAATTCTGTTTGAAAATATTCTTATTATTTTTATTATTTCTAGTAGGTTATGAATTTTTTTTCTATGTTTAATATTTTTAAATGAGATTCAAAAAATAATTAATAAAATATCATTAATTATTTTCTAATCACCATAAAATTAAATTTTTCGTATGTTAGTATATCATAATCTTGTGATTGCAAATCCCAAATGAATTGAGATAATGAAGTGAAAGAACTTTCGAGATAGCATCATTGATTTGTTGTAGCCAGTAATACGTATATATACTTGAGCTTATTCTTTTCAGGAATTTTGTGGGCCATGCAGTTTGATTGATCATAGCTCTTCAGTTTCTAAAATACTTACCTCCTCGTAACAAAAAGTCTAAATTACTTATCAATCTATTTTTATTTCTCCCTTTGGTAATTAAATAACCAAATGATTTTTTTATTAGGTTTTTAAAAGGATAATTTTATACATGCGTGAGAGGATTCATATTCTTACTGAAATCCCCTTATAAAAAAATTTTATATCCAAAAACGATCCACTTGAGTTTTGTTCTATGAAGATTTCTTTTTTTAGATTTTAAAAATATATATAAAAAATTTTATGGATTTGGATTTAATTGTTTTTACAAGGTTTACATTTATCATTATATTGATAAACTATTGTTTTGTTTTGGCAGCTATTTTAGATAAATACTTTTTTAAAGTCACAATTACAATCTTTATAATATAAATGGTTTATATATAAAAAAAATTACGATGCATATATGTTATATCATAAAATACAATCATACACATGATATAAATATCATAAATATTAATAAAAAATGAAATGCTAGCATTCCCTCTTAGCTGTTCTAACTGTGATTGGTCCGGTGGCTCCACACACAAGTGGATTCTAACCTGGCATGATTTCATCAGCATAACATATCAAAATATACTATTCTTGTATTATGACATTGTCTAACAAAACCTAGGAAAACATTGTTCGTGTAAATTACTGTTCATTAAAATGATAGTTTTACTTTTCCCATAAAAAATTATTAAATTGGCTACTGAGATATAGAGTGTTTTTATAACGTCAATTAGCTAGACATTACCAAAGAGATAAATAATTTTTTTTTAGAAGTATAATGGAATAATTAAAATATTATTGAAAATAAAAGTTTTAAATTAGCATTCAAGGCTTATTTTATTTTATTTTCACACTTTTTTTATAATAATCAAGTTGAATAAGAAACAATTTGATATTTAAATAAATATAATATAATTAAAAAACAAAAAATAGATGATATTTGAAGGGCATGAACTAATATATTAGGATATGTTTACGTTCTTCGAGCATCACAAGGGACCTCTCCTGAAGGTCAACATTCACCTTTCATAGTATTGTTAGAAGTGCCACTCCAAAAACTTTAGATTGGGGTGGTGCATGGTAATATATTGGAGTGGTGTTGTAATATCATTAATCTTTTTTTTTCTCTTTTCCTATAAATTCATATTTGCCGAACAAAATCTCAAAATTATCTTTTTATATATTGAGATTTTAACTTTGATCTTTATTATTATAATTTGTTTTTCTCAGCTTTTCTGTAAAATTTTAATTTGTTTTTGATTTTATTATTTAATCTCAAGTTGTGATATGTTATTTTTTTTTCAATTTAGTCCTCATTCCTTTAATTATTTTATTTTTTACTCCTTTTGTTAAATTGATTTTTTTTCATTTTCACCCTTCAATAAAAAATTTATAATTGTTGTCTAATTTATTTTTTATTTCAATTTTGGTCTTCATTATCTTCATTGCTATTTTGGCTTTGAATCCATTTGCGCAATTGAATTTTATTTTTAATTTCATCTATTAATATTTGATTGGTTGAGAATTGAACTTCTTAATTTATTCACATAGGATTCTTCCAATCTAATAATCCGAGTCATATGTTTGAAAAGTTAACGTGTTGACATTGATTTTTCTTTTTTTATTACTTTTTTTTTCATTTTAATCATTCGACAATGGTTTTGTTGAAATAATAGGCTTTTTTATTCTACTTATTGGGTTATTTTGATCTCATGTTATGGGACATGATTTTAGTGAGTTAATCTGAGTTGAGTCTGTTCTTTTTACGAGGTTACTTATTTTTTTAAAAAAAGATTTTATTCTTTTCCAAATATATTTTTTTTTATGAAAACAAATATTCTAGCACAGCGGCCTAGCTTAAGTCCTTGCCTAGTAACAAAAAAGCTAAAGTGAAGGCAAATTCATATTGGCCATAAACATATTTTCCTATTCGACACTATAGTATAATTATAATTTTGCCTTTCCAAAAAAAAATAAAAATCAAATGCATTAGTGTTGGGGTATTTTGATATTTTCATATGGTATATTGGTCATTTAAGTATTTATAAGGGGTATAAGAGTTTCTTTCTTAATCTTTTAAGCACGGTAAAATAACCTAATTACCCTCTAAGACAAAATTTCTAAGACTAGCATACAAAGGTATTCATGTTTTCTCATTCTTTAAATATAATAAATTGGCAAGTTTACCTTTAATTTTTTTTTTAATCATGTGTCCATGGTCTTTTCGCCTTTTCACTCTGATATTTTTGTTATTACCAGGTTTATTTGGGGTGATTTGGTCTTTTAATGAGGATTGATTAATATTTAAATGAAAAAAGCTACTAGCATTAAGGGGAGCTTGTAAATTTTGAGGAGCGCATGCATCACCTTTTGATGGTAGAAAATGCTTTTGGGTCATGTTTTTGGAAACTTTGTTTTGTTTTCTTTCTATTGATGTGATGAATATCGGCGATAGTTAGACAATTTATAATTGATGGGTCTTTTTTTTTCTTTTTCTTCTCACCTAAAAATTACATGTTCGCCCATTTTGTTGTTGATATTTCAAATTTGATCCTTATTTTTTTTATTTGTTTATTTATGTTCTTGGTTTTTTTGTAAAAGTTTTTTTTTGTTTTTAATTTTATCATTCAATCCTAATTTTTCATATATTATTTCTTTCAATTTGGTCCTTATTCTTTTGATTTTTAATTTTTTCCTTGACTATTTTATAAAAAAATTATTGATTTTTAATTTCATCATTCAACCCAAATTTTTCCAATATTTGATTTAGTTTGGTTTTTTTCCAATTTGGTTTTGGTTTTTTTTTTATAGTGTATTATTTTTCCAATTTGGTTTTGGTTTTTTTTTTTTTACTTTTTTTCTCTTTTTGTTAAAGTTATTTTCTTTTCAATTTCACCCTTCTATCAATTTTTTTTATTTTCCTATAATTTTTTTATTTTGATTTTTATTCTTATTTTCTTAATTACTATTTTTTTACTTTAGATCCTTTTATGTGATTTTTTGTTTTTTGATTTCATCATTCAATATTTGATTTATTAGGGATTGAGTTTCACAATTTTTTCAAGTATGGTGTTTCTACTCTACTAATTCGAGTCAAATGTGTTGAAATGTTAATGATGGTTGGCATATTTTTTTTTTCTTTTATATCAAGTTATTCTAATTTTATGACATAGAGTATGAGTTTGGCGGGTTAATCCAGTTGACTTGTCCCTTATTGCCCAAATTACATTTTCATGATGCTAACCTAGGTTGATCACTCATGCTAATTTTTATTTTTTAGCCAATTTTTTTATTCCATATTTAATTAGCTAAAATTTGAACAACATTATTTTTTTGTTTTTGGAAAAAAAATCTAAGTTATTGTGATCCTTTTTTTGTCCCTTTATCATAATTATATATTTTTTATTTGATTTAAATAAAACTTTCTTATTTAACTAATCAAGAATATAACTCATGTAAATTTTTTTTTTATTAAAATAAAAATATATTCGCAAAACCTAAACATTATTTTTTATAAAACATAATACGGATAGGCGACCTATCACGATCTACATCTAGCATTCAACTAAAAGGAAAAGCAGCCGGAAAAAAAAAAAGGCTTGAAAAAATAAAAAGAAATTCAATTCCAAAATGAAATTTTCCTTGTCTAATCATCACTCGTATTCACTCAAAGAAATGTCAACCACCACCATCCCGATTAGTTCTTTAATTGGTACACCGCAGGACCCAAATGGTCACTTTGGTTTACAGCTCCTATAAATACTCAAGTTATGCAGCGAACCGTTTTCTATCATTTTATGTAACCATAGAAGCTAAGTAAAGTAATCGAGAAAACAAGAAAGAAAGCCCAAGAAACCCAAGTTTCTGGCACACCAATAACCACAAAGAGACCAAGCAGTGTTAAGCCATGGCAGATGAGTACACAAGCACAAACTGGTGGGATTCATCTTCAAGCAGGAACAGGTTTGATAGTACTGGATCAACCTCTACAACTTCAGGACTTAATAGTTTACGTAGCTTTGCTTGGCCGACAGAAATTGCCGATGTCAAAGGGAGGTCTTCAATGGAAACTGTTTCGGTCTCAGATAGTTCTGTTGCTTTCCATGATTCCCAGAAGCTGCAACAAGGCCATGATTCTTCAGCTGACTTGCATATGATGGGTTTAGGCCTCTCTTCACAAGTCATGGATTGGAATCAAGCCTTACTGTAAGTTCACATACAAATACACTTGTAACCCTAGCTAGCTATATATGCGTACTCTTTGTTTCTTTATATGCACATAGCAGGTGTGCAAACAAATTTTAAAGTTAGAATTGTTTTGGCAGTCGCGGCGACAAGTCTGAGAACAGTTTTCGATCGATGCTACAAGATAATTTGAGTTCAAGCACCAATTATCAGCAAGAAACTGCAGGAATTGGATCTTCTCAATCTCAGTGGAGGGAGAGAGTGTTCACTGGGGTCACTGGAGATTCCTCTATGAGTGAGTTTAAGCAAATGAATCGAGGCTTTCCTTTAGATCAACCACAGTTTAGACCTCATGGGAGCTCCAGTGATAGTACCGTGTCATGTCAAGGCTTGCAGTCTAGTTTCCCAATGGATTCATCAGGTATCTATGGAAGCCCTTCAACTATGTTACAAGGGCTATTGATATCAGAAAATCAAGCACGGCAGTCTTCTTTTGAGAACAGACCAATGAGTTATGCATACGGGGCAAATTATGGTCTTAGCACTAATGAATTGTTGCCTTTTTGGCCTAAAGGACCTCAACTCTTGAGAAATTCACCTCCCAAACAGGCTTCTAGTAACCAATTGCACTTCTCCAATAATACTCCATTTTGGAATGCATCTGCAAGTGCCATGAATGATGTTCGTCCGAGCTATTTCCCGTCGATGCAACCGCAGTTTGCTACATCGAATTTCGATGAAAAACCAAAGGTATGCAAATCTAACACTATAATGGAAGAGGACAACTAGGCATCTTTGATGCCTAAAATCCTCATATATATATATATATATATATGCAATATTCAGATTTGATTGATATTGGTAATTATGCTTTTAAGATTAGGGTTTGGATAATTGAGATTGGAAATTTTTGGTTCACTCTTTTTTCCAGCAGAATATATCTGAAGTACGGGATTCGAATATAGCAGTAAAGAAAAGTGGGAGTGAAGCAGCAACAAAAAGGCCTAGAAATGAAACACCATCATCTTTGCCATCTTTTAAGGTACAGAAAATTTGATAAAAGATTTTGACAAGATGAGTCTAATCCCTTACATCATTTATAGACATGAATGAGAATTTGTAGCTTTGATCATAGGTAAGGAAAGAGAAGATGGGGGACAGAATCACTGCACTCCAACAATTGGTTTCGCCTTTCGGAAAGGCAAGATAACTCTCCTGTTTGCTTGCTCACTTTCACAAAGAGTAAATAGTGATAGATCATTTGCATTCTTGAATGATGAAAGCTTATCAATGATTATCTTTTTGGCTTGCGATCATGTTATCATGTCAGACTGATACAGCCTCGGTGCTCTCTGAAGCTATTGAATACATCAAATTCCTCCATGAGCAAGTTACAGTAAGTGATTGATCTTATACAACTCTTGCATCCTTCTAGTGTAAATTATACTAATGATATAGGGAATGAATCATAAACAATGTATTCAACCAATAAGTATATAGGTGCCGTGAATTTCTAGTATATTCATCTTCTTATTTTATTTTCAGGTCTTCAGCACCCCATACATGAAAAGTGGAACTCCCATACTCCACCAACAGGTACAATAATATTCTCCTTCCGGAAATAAATAATCAAATAGTAATAAATCCAATGAGGAGTCAATACTTAACTATAATTTTTCAATTAAAATTATGGACCTTTTTTTTTTTGTTTCACTGTAGAGTTCTGACAAGTCCAAGGACCTCGAAGGACAAAAACAAGATCTTAGAAGCCGAGGGCTATGTTTAGTACCGGTATCGAGCACTTTTCCGGTTACTCACGAGACCACAGTTGATTTTTGGACCCCCACATTTGGAGGGACTTTCAGATAAAAGGAAAGGACGATGGTAAAAAATTCGGGCATGGGAACAGATTCTATGCAACTAGTATACATGATCTTATCAAAACCCTTGCCAAGTTGGGAACGATAAGATCAATGAGAGAAGAGGAAGAAGAAGAAGAAGAAAGAACAGAAAACAAACAAGCCCCACATAACTCAGTCCAGGATGCAAAAGAATACAGCGTATAGAAATTGTGAAAAAGAAAGAAAAGGAAATGACTGTCCAAGGGTACATGCCAATGTTGGGCCAGCTACAGGCAACATGATGCAGTTGGCCAATATTGGGACCATTTGGAAGCATATTAATTGTTGTAATAATTGAGAATTATATAATTATAAACATGGGTTAGGAATGAGTATAGGTGCAGATTTTAGGGAAAGTGTAACAGATTAATTAGTTTAGATAACATTAATTTGTTATAAAGTATACTAGAGTTTAGTAGAAGAGCTCGCTTGGGGAGATCATATAAAGCCACTTTTCTTTTCTTTTCTACTGCTCTCTCTTTCTCCCTATGTGTGTGTGTGTGTGTGTGTTGTGTGAATAGAGCTGGCACTAGCTTTAATTAGGTTTCAAGAGAGAAAAGGAAGAAGAGAGAAGAATTGAAAGGGAATAATTGAATTCCAGAATAGGGAGTGAGTGTGGGGATGTCATTTGAATTAAAATCTCAGTTTTGATTTGTTTGTGTTTCGGAATATTGGTAGTGGAAGTCAGAAGGTGGTCCACAGCTCTTCCTTTCAGGTTTTTATTTTCTATTATTACATATAAATAAACAAATGTTAGGAAATATGTATGTATGTGTAGACTCTCTGCTTTTATGCTTTTCATCCAATGGCCACATTGAGGAGCTTCCATTGGAGGTATATCAAAAGGCAATGAGACCCCATCTCACTTTCATAACCAGAAACCTAAAAGCCATCAGACTAATTTTATGCCTAGTTATTTGTATTTATGATTATAGGAAACTAACACACAAAGGTCATGAAGTGGGAAATGAATGATTAAACTTGATCTTAAATCCTTCTAAAAAGCAAGAAGATGAGTACACTTCAAATTTTTTGTATCAGATGATGATGACGATGATAAGAGGGTTAGGAGAGAAAACCATACATCTCCTTCCAACCGTAGCAATGATTTCTGTGTAGAAATCTCTGTTCAAATCCGAGCAAACAAGGGGTCTAGTTGTGATAATTTTTGTTTTCAAGATGCCATTCAAGAACAGATATAAAAGAAAGATAGGAGAGAAGCTTTGCTTGTTAATATTTGGAAATAATTTGTTGCTTAATGCTCTAATGCAATCAATATTTATGATCATACACTGTAAATTAACTTGTAATTCTCTGCTCAGGCACCGGATTCGGTCGGGACCTTATAATATATCAACTACTTTATGAGTTCAAGTTCTTTTTAAGTTACTGAAAGTTGCATCAACTTTACTAAGAATCATAGAATCTAAGAGTCGATCATTGTTTCACCAATATTACAGCCTTCCATGTGACTTCAAGATATCAAAAGCTTACTTTCCAATCTACATATTTGTCTTCTATTACAAGTTTTTATTGATTGATTCTTAAAAGCACTTCCAATCTACAGTCCTTCCTTGCAATGCTAATCTTGGCAAAGATTCTTACTTGAAGGAATTGATTATATATGGACATTCTTTACTAAATATATACTCCTCTTGCAAGATATATATATATATATATATATATATATTGCACTTCCACATGCATGTGGTTCACTCATGCTTGACAGAGATAGATCTCTTCGAGGAATGAGAGGAGTAGAAACTAGCAGATACAGTTCCTCTAACTCAAATTGTCAAGAAAAGACGATATATCCACAAACCCTTCAAGGAAAAAAGGAAACAAACAAAGAGTCGTACTGTAGGAGCTTTGTCTGATTCAATCCTTAACACTTTGAAAGCACAAATCCTACTCTTGAAATACACAAGCTTTGCAATGATCATAAGTATCATATCCTCTTTTATAGATTATAGATATAAGTTCCAAGGCCAGATGCCTCTAGAGTAGAATGATATTAGCCCAATAAATCGAACCCAACAACATTGCAACAGATCATTAGGGTTTGAATTAGTTTAATACCTTCATTATCTTGCATTAATTAGTAAATCTCTTGCCTGCTGATCATGACACGAAACTCTCATATATTTCAGTATCCACCAATGAAACTTCCTAATTGCATCTCTTTGTCATCATGTTGATTAGTTTAAAGAACTGTTTTCCTCTTTGGTCTCATCTTTTGTCACCCAGTGCTGCAGCAAAGAAACAACTGAGTGGGATTCTTATATATTTAAATCTAATATCTATCAGAAAAAGAGAGCCATACTTTAAAAGAAAGAAATAATTATAAAGGGAGTGGAATCTTGTAATTGTATAGGGTAAAAATGATTGCCCCGAGACTCTAATTTAAAATAAAAAAGTTTCCTTCTCTTGTTCTAGGTCGTGCCATGGAGTAAAAAATGTTTTCCATGAGAATTTATATTGGTCAACGTGCACACCAATTTTATTATTACTACTAGTTAACGGGCATCCAACTATGCAAGCATGAGCATAAGCAGAGGGCAAGATATGAGGTAACACATGACACCAACCTAGCTTCCTTGAAATTCGAGCACAGAATTCAATCTCGAAACATGTGTTTAGTTCGAGATGCTATTGTACGGTTCTTTTCTATACTGGCAGGAGAAGATCATGAGATTGACTACTGCGTAGGCATGAAAGTAAAGCATGTAGACAGATAAAAGAAAGGCTATAGGTTAGGTTCATGAAGAAAGTGGCGAGACAGGGGATTTCACATGCGACTGGATGTTAGGCCAAATGACGGAAGAAACAAGTTCGAGAGTTACAAGTCTTCTTTTAGTGGCAGTTATCTTATTGCAGTAATCCGAAGTTCATTGATTGCAAAGGATCCGAACCCTTTTATGCATAGCAATTCCTCACAAAAAGAAATGCCCAAGTAAAATGATCAGCAAGGGCATATGCGTTAAACTCAAAGCAACTTGATGCGTTAATCTGGCGTCCAGTCCATATCTAGTTTTTTTTTTTTGAATCACTTTAAATATTAACATGGTTAAACTCGATTGACTCGGCTAGGAATCAATCAAGTTAATTTAAAAATATTTTATTTTATTTTTATTTTTTTTTAAATAATAATATTTTTTAAAAAAATTATTCAAAATAATATTGAGATAAAAAAAAAATTATTCAAAATAATATTGAGATAAACCTAACTTGATATAACAAACCCGCTACCTTGATGTTAAACCGGGTTAGACACCACGTGGAGACTAACATCTATGGAGCACAGTAAAAATTCAATATGGTATGGAGCCCATTTTGCTAGAAATAACATCTAACAAAAAAAAGGCACTGTTATGCGTTGCATTTGTACCAATTTTAATCTCTTAAAGATAATACACTAATGACCGCGGAAAGCTGAGCACCCTTTCAATGAGAAAAGGAGTCTTGATGGTTTGGAGAATTATGTTCATATATTCTGAGAATAGTTTAGTTCTCATAGATCATATCAGCTCAAACAATTACTAAAAATAAAGCACTGATGAATGAAATTGCACCTAATATTTTCCAAACCATCAGGTTAAACCATAAAATGTCGTTGGCATCATTCAGATTTTCAAAATTTAAGACCTGCATTCACTATAAATTGTAGTGTTATGGTTCGGGAGCGCATCATGCAGGTCTCGGCCGTCTTTGCCTGGGCATTAGCTTCAAAGTGGTTATTGCTTTCAATTTGCAGGAGCAATTGACGGAAATTATTAAGGTTCTAAGACAGAGGAATGAAGAAATCATATTATGATGCATTGGGAATGGAATAAATGAAAACACAACCAATCTTGATATCATTGAGACAATAATCACTATCGTGTTACACACATAAAAAACATATAATAAACAGCAGAATATGAATTATTCTTTGCAAATACATATTCTATAGGGTGAAAAAATGGAAGACCAGACCGTATTCTTGTAATTGAGTAAACTTAAGCAGCTCCTTTGAGCTTTTTTGTGATGGCAGCAATGTACTTGCCCTGGTGGAAAGCCTGCTCCAATTCAAGTTCGGTTGGCTGTCTCGACCCATCCCCAGCGAAAGTTCCTGCGCCGTAAGGACTTCCACCTTTCACCTTCTCCATCTCAAACATGCCAGCACCAAATGTGTAGCCAATGGGAACAAATATCATCCCATGGTGAACAAGTTGGGTGATAGCAGTCAACCTGTTAAAATCTCAACATTTTCATAAGACATCGTTACTTGTGCTCCCTAACAAGTTTTTCGAGTAAAAAAGTTAACTGGTAGCGGTGACACGGGACTTACGCTGTGGTCTCTTGGCCACCACCTTGCGATCCAGTGCTAAAGAAGATTCCAGCGGGCTTGCCAGCAAGTTGCTGTGTTCTCCATAGACCTCCAGTCGCATCCAGAAAAGCTTTGAATTGGGCAGCCATCATTCCAAATCTTGTAGGGAATCCAAACACAAAGCCATCGGCTTCAGCGAGTTCACTAGGTGTAATGATTGGCACATCACTCTTTGGTGGTGCACTCATCTTTCCAAGCACCTCTTCTGGCAGTGTCTCCGGAACCTGTTACACAAGAGGACTAGATCAGGATAATTGTTTTTGCAATTTCAGAGAAAACTACAACATTGAGGAGCCTCGACTTCAAAAATAATCCTTGCCACCAGTTGAACTATCAAGTAGCATTCCAAATATATTAGAGTGGCAAGAAAAACTATAAATAGCTATGCCTTCACAACCTAAGATAATTATTATATGTGACAACTGACAGAGATGTCTAACCAAGGAAAAGGAACGACAACAACTGTGAAAAACTCCATCACAGGTGCAAAGTTCTAACAGATCCTTGGCATATATGAGCAACAGGACATAACTATGAGAGATATTCAAAGTTGTAATACTGATTGTACTAAATGCACCAATATTAAAACAGAATAATAATAATAAAACTGCATGCAGCAGTTCACATAAAGCATGGGAGCCATGGATGTCGATGATGAATTCTGATAACCTCATAACTTCGCATGTAGGAAACATTTTCAGAAACAAGTTTAGTTCACGATTCTCAAACCGTGTTCTTTTTTTAATCTAAAATTCTTGTGGCATTCTACTTTGTATCGTCATATGCAGGCCACAGCATGCTGGTAAATTTAATAGTTCAACATCACAAGAGCATGGACTGTGAAAGTTGACATTGGATGCACTTCCTCACCTGCCATAATCGGGCCTCAACACCTTCAACAGATGAAGCCCCTTTCTTAATCTCTTCTGCCAGTTTCTCTACATGTCCATACATGGAATAGTACCTATAAATGCAACAGTAAATTTTAAGAGACAAAGCACGAGGAAAATAGCAGAAAGGAGAAAGAAAGAGCCTGAAGAGCATTTGGACCATATAAAAATAACTTGCATGAAAATGTAACATAAGAGGTCAATAATGTC